TCAGCAGGAGTGTTTTCTAAGTGCCATCTATGTTCAGTTATTTGTAACTGTCTCTGTCTGTCTGTAGATAATCTCTGTGACGGGATTTGTTGATAGTGACAGAGATGACCTCAAACTAATGGCTTACCTAGCAGGCGCCAAATACACAGGCTATCTGTGTCGCAGCAATACAGTTCTCATCTGCAAAGAGTAAGTGCTTTATCTCTGCAGTACTGGTGTTCTCAGTTGCTTGTTGCCAGTTAGTGCTTTTCCTAACGTGAGGTGCGAATTACATCTCATTCTAAGAATGTTAATTTAATAAATTTTGTGATTTGATAGCAATAAACTTAGTGATGTTGTTTCTTGAACTAAATTCCTGCACGCTGTTACATGATAAGTTTGGCCTTCTGAAGACAGGCAAAAGAAAAGTAATTTCTAATTTTGCTGGTTTACAATATTTTATAAGTGATGCTGACTGTTAGATCATCTCTAAGTAAAACTTTTTTTTTTTTTTTTTTTTTAAATAATTGTTTTAAAACGGTGGGGGAGGGAAAATTAAGTTAAACCCAGGTCTAACTTGATTCCGTTTGGGGCAGAAATACTCTCCTAATTGACTTGTTCTAGCATGTAAAGCAAAAGTATTTTTTCAGAGTATGTACTTTGTCACGGTTAAAATAGATAATAGGCCAACACAGAAATATTGGTCTTTTAGGTTTATTATTAGAAATTGCTGATTTACCTGTTTTATTGAAATACAATTTTTTTTCTTCATTTCTGAACAATAAGGCCTAGTGGCTTGAAGTATGAGAAGGCTAAAGAGTGGAGAATACCATGTGTAAATGCACAATGGCTCTGTGACATACTGCTAGGAAATTTTGAAGCTTTACGGCAGATACAGCACAGTCGGTATACAGTATTCAGTCTTCAAGATCCACTTTCTCCTAGTCAACATCTAGTTCTAAACCTTTTGGGTAAGAGTTTCAGTCCCAAAATCCCATGTTCTGTAGCATTTATGTATGTACCTGTTTAATCAACAGAAGCATGTCTTCTGTTATAAGTAACTTTGCAATGGTTTCATTTTTGTTTTGTTCTTCATTTCTTAGATGCTTGGAGAGTCCCACTAAAGGTATCACCAGAACTTCTAATGGTATGTTGAATGGTATATATACAGCTATTTTTATAAGATTACTCTTTAGTGTTTTTAATGTGTGAGCACGTGTACATGGTGTGAGTAACGTGCCAGAGGGACTTCCACAGACCCATTCTGAACCTCCTGGCTGTACTTCCTGCTAGAGTTCTCTCTATTTTATTTTGAGAAATCTGAGAAATAATGTTTTGCAAAACTAAGAACCTGCACTGTGATACACAAAATTAAGTTACTTTTGAGACACCTTGGGCTAGTGCTTCACTCTTCAGTTTTTATACCAGACCTTTAGAAAGAGCTTAGTATTTTTTGAGTCAGTACCTGACACTCTCTGAAAATCAGGCCACATAAGGGTTTTTAAGGCAGAGCACCAAAAATCAGTAAGAATTTTGTTAGAATATTGACTAAATTTTAAATAGGATAGATAATGTAAATTAAGGGTGGAACTACTTTATATCATCTCTTTGAAATATTCTAAGAATTAAAACGATGGGCATATATACCATATGTTTTATAATTTAAAAATATATCTTGCTTTAGAAAGTGTAGTTGATAACCCTGGAAATAACAGCAGTGTAAATGAACAAGGATACGAAGAATATACATTAAAAAGATACAAAACATTTAGTCTTTGTCATGTGGTGTATTCTGTGAAACATATAAAACATGAGCCGGGTGTAAGAGCTGAGGTAAGAGGTAAGAGGAAACTGCAGCTTACCTTCTGAAATGTTTCCGTGTTCTGAATATGTAGAAAACTATTTTAGTTTTTGTATTGTAAATTCTCTTCCCATTTCAGATTTATACTTGATAATTGTTTACACAGTGTCTGTCTTGATGTAGGTAAATCCCAATTTGGGCTAGTGAGCTTTCAGTTCATTTGTACAAGAGATGACTGTCAGATATTAGTTTTTATATTGCACAAAAATGTTTTGCCATACGTCTTGTGTTCTGGATCACTTCTTACCTCATCTTTTTTGTATACTCTTCAGAATGGAGGAGCTTAGTAACTATCATAACTTAATTTGTACTAATACTTTAAATGAGGTCTGGGCACTATTTGTTGTTTTAATACCTTTCAGCTTTAGAAATAGCCACTACTATATCCCTGGCCGTAAGTTTGAAACATTCTTATACTTACAGACCCCTGTGGAATTGTTTTGTGGGCCTGTAGGAAACTAATTCTTAGGAAATTAACTGCCTTTAAAAATTTGTGTACTTCATACTTTCCTGAAGAAGGATGTATTCTACTAGTGGCAAAATAAAAAATCCTTTAAGAGACTCACTATGCACTATTAGCATTTAAAATAGCTTTTAACTAACTCAGTTTTGGGTTTGTTACCACCACCCTTTGTGTCCACACTGCAGTTGAGCTCATCTTAAAATTGGGCATGTGCCGCCTTTGTGTGACTCAGACCAGGTGGTGGTCCATGTTTTGTCTTATGTAGCAAATGGAGAGAACTTTGGGGTCAGAAAGCCTAATTTAGTACCTCCCTTTCTGTATTTACTGTATGGGGACCCTTCTTGCCCATGTGAAGTGAGAATCTTGTAACTTAGATCGAAAGGGAGAGGTAATCTTGTCCAGCTCCCCTCAGGATGCCCACGTATGAAGAATACGATTTGGTAATAGAAAATGTCGGGCACATGGAAGTGTCAGACAGGGTACTTCACTGCCTTCACAGGAGGCATTTCTGTTTGTCTTGGGATTTAAAGTATGGGGTCCTCTTTTGAGGACAGCTGTCTGCCAGACAGTGTTGAAGCCATCTACCTTTTGCATTTTCATAGTTGAAATGTCTATCAAGAAATGAGCGCGTGCACTTCTCTTTCCAGCTGCTCTCTTGTGATTGTCTGGCATAAAAACATACGTCCCTGAGAGCAGGGGACAAACGCCCGTGGCCTGTTGCTCCCAAAGGACTGTCCTCCCAGCGAGGCTGGAATAATGCTGCCTGTCTTTCTGGTCATGTGCCTCTAGCATTCCTCATTAAATTTCAGGTGTAGATTTGAAGGTTAAAAAAGGAATGGATATCACACACTCCTGCAAGTGGGAGCTGTGGTTTCAAGTTACTCAGGCCAGGGAGAGCCCAAAAGCTCCATTTCCCTGCTCCTGGGCAAATGCTCTAGTGGCTGAGCTAGTGCTGGGGAGGCAGGAGTGTCCATCCGGTGAGTACCTGAGCATCTACTGGAGCTTCTGTTTATGTAGTCAGGGAACTTGAGTGTTTAAAACTCAGGTGCCAGTATTTTCTGTTGATAGTTAAGCACCTGGAAGAATATTGTAGTCTTCATGTATTTAACAAATGGACAGGTTTTTCATTTCCTTTCTCATTTAGTTATTTGTGATTTCCATTGATGATTATCAGCTATATTTAAGTCCCACAATATTTTGTTTGGTGTTCACATAAACGATTGTATAACTTTATGGAGAAGCTTTGGTTAATGCTCAGCTTTGCTCTTGAGTCAGTTGTGTAAGCAATAGGTGTACCAGGATGCTTTCGGTAGCATGCCTTTTTCATTTGTGTTTAACTAACTTCAATATAGGCTCAGAATATAGTTTTTGTCTTTCAGAATAGAAGTTGGTTTCCCTGCTCAATTCAGATATAAACATGTAGATGGTCTAATTTCAGGGTGTGAGGTTGCCTTTGAAACCAAAGCAAAATGAATCCAGTCTTCAACCATCTTCCAAAAGAGCAAGGTAAGAACAGCGAGCAATCAGTGCTGGTAGTCCTTAGTTTACTTTTCTACAGAAAAAGTTCCATCCTGTGCCCTGCAAATCGAAATAACTAGCAATGTTTTTTGCATATTGCCAACTACTCACCTGGCAGGAACAAAAATAATAATTAGCAAGTGAAGTTGTAAGAGAATTGGGAGAGAACAAAAACAGGAGAATAAGTCCTGTTCCCAGCATAGAATTTTTTTCTTCAGAAGAAGATTGATCCTGCCTAATTCTCATTCGTCTGAGTACTTCCATTGGTAAAAGTTGCAAGAGTGTGCTTGTCTGGTTTTAAAATAATAATAATACTACAACTTTGGGCCCAAACTTCACATTCTGCTGTATTTCATGTATTTTGTAGGATTGAAGACCTACCACCACCTACTAAAAAACTCACCCCAGAATTGACACCAATGGTGCTCTTCACAGGATTTGAACCTATGCAAGTTCAACAGTACATTAAGGTGACTTTCATGCTTATGTCTTGTGAATTACATTGAAACATCTGATAACTTTTTTTTCTTGATGTTGAATTTTCATTATCTAAGACTTGATTAGCATACATCTAGTGGATAAAAATCCATACTTGCTGGGGCTGAGGTTAGAGTGTAGATTTATGTGAAATGAGTTTTATTTGGTAACTGTTGTGCTTTAGTTAACTACTTCATACTTCTGTGCTACTTGTTTTTTCTTTCCATATGATTGTTTTAAAAACCAAGAAAGCCCCTTCCACATTTGTTTTTAAATTAGAAAACTTCATGACCAAATTTAGGTGAGAAAAGTAGTGATGGTTGTACTGGATAAGACCCAAGATTCTTCTAGTGTAGTTGCTATCTGTAATGCCGAATGCTTCAAAGCAAGCTGATGACAAAGCTTATGACAGGTATGAGATAATAAGTTCCCATGGAGATTGTGTTCTATTCCCTAATAAAGCTGTCCCAAAACTTAACTCTGAATAATTTGTAACATTCTTTTAATGGTATACAAATCCAATCATTCCTTGAACCTCAATAATTACTGATTATTTGTTGCAAAAGAACTTTTCATTTATGTTATTTTTCACACGTTGGCTGAGGTTTGAGGCACAGGGTTTTTTTAACTGCTGACCTCAGTAGTGCATGAAAGATCCTGCCACTGATGCCTGCTCCAGATAATCAAAAGTAAATGAGGTCTACTTTGAGTCTGCTACATTTCTTAGAAATACGCATCACTTTGGTGTGCTCAAAAATACCTAATATCTTCTTTATTATACCTAAACTTGTTTTTAAAGTAGTTGGACTTTGGAGGTTTTTTCCCTTGCAGTGTTTACATTTGAAGCTTGATATTAAATATTTTGGAACATAAAATATTTTTGAGTATATCCCATAAATTTCCAGTGTCAGCTCCTCATTTTCTGTCATGTTGGTACCAGGTTAATTATACAGAGAATCTGTTTTGGTAACAGTTATGGCTTACAAATATAAAAAATGAACTTCAGCCTCAAGGCTTGTGACGTTGAGTCTAAACTTGGCAGTGATGATACCATCAAGACCTTTCAGAGTCTGTACCTAGCTGAGGTTGGATACTTCTCATCTTCTTGAGATGGAGGAGTAGCCTTTTTTCCTGTATCCTCAAAGGGTTCCTTGAACATCAGAATGGAAATCTTGCAAGATCTGCACTCATAGGTATACAGTGTTTGAGGTGAACATGTATTAACTATGAAAATAACAGCCTTTGCCTTTCATAGGTGTACTATTCACAAGGTGTTTATACATACCCTGAAGGAAATAAATAGTAGAGAGGTTCAGTGTCATTGAATAATAATTTGTGTATCATCTCTATGCAAACCATCAAAGTAAGCCAGCACAGTAAAGAAAAGTTTAAAACATTGTCCCTGTCTATCCTAGTTGTTTCTTATTATCAGAGGAGTAGAATACAGAGGAATGCCAGAGATCTTTTAGGGTTTCTAATACACCCAGCAGGCCTTCCTGTGTTCGTGACTCCTGATGACTGTGTAATAAAATCACCCTAGTATGCTCAATATTTATACTTAAACATATTGGTGGGGTTTTTATTTGTTTGTACAAAATGCTTGTCGAAGAAAATCAGAAGTCCATGGCGCATAGATATTAAAGCTGTCCAAATATTTTTTCATTCTTTAAACTTTTATGGGAGGAAGCCTTCTTTATTTGTAACCAACACCTATGGTAATTTGGTATGCCTCACTAGTTGATCAGTTGTATTGCTTATCCCTTCGGATGATGATTTGTATCTTAACTGACAAGACAGCAGCTGTGATGAGTTAGTTCGGGTTTGGTAGTTTAAACCAAGGGAAAAAGGATAGTTGCTCAGTATCATGAAAAATACATGTGGAACTAGTGCATGGTTTTAATGAGATGCTTTTCTTTTTGAAAAAAAGACTAGCAAAATTAAGTTTACTATAGCTACAGTGTATACCTTCCATAGAAAAGAGCAAAATTATTAAGTTTTATGCTTACTTAATAGCGTGTGTCAGTAAAAAAGATTATAAGTTGTATCTTCCAGTTGCTTCTGTGCTTAAACACAACCCAAACCCAAAAAACTGCAGAAGCGGAATGTAGCTTTCAGTCTTGCCAGGTGAAATTTGTATCTGGAAATACATGGATTTTCAATGGCTATAAATTCTGTCAAAATCAATCAGCTTTAGGAATGGCTGTAATACAGAAATCTCCTATATTTACTGTTTCATTAGGACCTTAGTTTTATTTGATGGTGATGTTATGATTCGTCATTTTTTTTCCTCCAATTTTTAAAGGACTGTTCCATTCTGGTTTGTGTTTCCTACATTTTTCAGAAACTGTATATCCTTGGAGGTGAAGTAGCAGAATCTGCCCAGAAGTGCACCCATCTAATTGCCAGTAAGGTGACCCGAACTGTCAAGTTCCTGACAGCAATTTCTGTAGTCAAGCACATAGTAACTCCAGAGTGGTTGGAAGAGTGTTTCAAATGCCAGAAGTTTGTTGGTAAGTTAAACTAGTATCAACTTCTGTAGTAGACATAAGGTTTGGTGATTTAAGTATGCAAAGATGGCATGCATATTTAAATACACTGTATTGTTTTGACTTCTGACTTAAGTGTCTCTTGCCAGTTTCTAAAGAGTTCAGTTTTGAAAGCAGAGATTTTAAGTGTACAGCAAATCTGACTAGCGTTGTTCATAACTCATGTTATGTTTAAACAATTTTACTAGCAGCTAGTTTGCATTTCACTTGAGGTAGAAGGTTATATTGGTGTCATTAAATAAAGCTGTCATAAGAAGAAAAGATGTATTACTTTCTTAAGTTCTCTTTCAATGGAACGTTTTGTTTCATTTAGGTTTCGTCTGATTTAATACAGTTTCTCTGCATTAAACAAAGTAAAAAAAAAAAAAGTTGTTAAGCATTATATTTATTTCTTTGCAGATTTGCAGATTTTTACCTGTGGTTACATTACCTTTTAAGCCACAAATGCTTTTGGTTTCAATAATTTTTCCTAAAATACAAGTTGTAAAGCACTAAGCCACTGTTGGAGATACAAACAAAAATGCATTTAAATAATTAAAGTTAGTTTGTCTTTCATGCGTTACATCATCAGTCTTTCTTTTCCAGATGAGCAGAACTTTGTGCTCAGAGATGCTGAAGCTGAGGTGCTGTTCTGCTTTAGTTTAGAGGAGTCTCTAAAGAGAGCACAAGTAGCTCCACTGTTCAAGGTATGCAGTTTAAAAGGGCATTTAAATACTTGGAGCTTTTCAACCTAATTTTTTCAGCACTGGGACCACAGCTTTTGTAGCTGAGGGCAATAAAACAGACTAGCATATAACATGAAGCATTTGTTATAAATTTTATTTTTTACTTTATGCCTACTTCCTGCCTAAGCATTGCTGGGATGGATCTAAGCCCTCTGAGTGGCTGGATCCTGTAGGTGTGAGCAAAACATGCTCAGTGTATGCTCAGTATACTTAACAGTATTTGTTCCCTTACAAAATTTTGAACGTTGCTCCGTTATTTGTAAAATGCCACTTATGGAAGGGACACTTTTTTTGTTTGTTTATTTGTTTTGGTTTTTTTAAGCACCAGCCTGGCTTCAGCCTCAGGGTGTTCTAGTCTGATTCTCCTTGAGGACTGCGCTTACCATCAGGCTGTTTGCGAGGACGGTTCAAACAGCTTGGTTTTCATGCCTCCAGTTAAAATTATGTTACAGTGCAGAGAGGTATCTGAAGATCCAGGTTGCTGGAGATTCTTCAGCATAACTGAATTTGAGACTCTTTATTGAGGCACCAAACCACCTAAAAAAGGGTATTTTTACAACCTGTAATGAATAAGAATCTGTGTCTCTTATGAAGTCTAAATATTACATTTCACTTGGTTTTGAAGTCTAAATAGCAAGGCTTTTTTTATTCCTAACTGGTAAACAGAGATAATCTACTTCATGATCTGATCACCTATATCAGTCAAGTAGTAGGATAATTTTTGTCAGGAAATAATAAATTGTCTATTAATTAAAAGCTGAAACTTCTTTTTAACACTGGAGACATCCCTGTGCTTGAAGAAGCAAGCAGCATTGCTGTTCTTACATGTCTTACCAAGCTGCAGTTACCTTTTTTTTTTTTTTTTTTTACCTTTTTTTTGTTTTGTTTTGAATCATGCTTTAACCAGTGATCATTTGAAGGTTTCCTGGCTGTTGTTTTACAGGTGTTGAAATAGGCAGACCTAAGCTGTTCAAATTTATTAAAATTGTGGGTTTGCCCCTCCAGGGAAAACATCAGTGGTAATTAAGGACAACTCATCAGCCGATGAATTTGTTACCATAAGCTGTGATACCTAACACCAGCTTACAAAGTCTGCCCCATGATTGTGTAAGAGAAGAGTCACATGATAAGAAAACTTAATGTGTTGCAGAAATCAGTTAACAAAATAATGTGTTTTCTTATTCTTTCTTTTCTCTTTTTAGGGAAAATATTTTTACATTACACCTGGAATCTGTCCCAGTCTCTCCACCATGAAAGCTATTGTGGAATGCGCAGGAGGAAAAGTATTATCTAAACAACCTTTTTTTCGAAAACTCATGGAGCATAAGCAGAATAAAGTGTGTAGAGTGTTGCTTTCTAAAATTTACTGGTAATATCTTACTGTGTTGTTCTGAGCTTACAATTAGTTTCTTTCGTTTAGAGTTTGCCGGAGATAATCTTGATTTCCTGTGAAAATGACCTTCATTTATGTCGAGAATATTTCGCAAGAGGCATAGGTATGTATAAGCTATCAATGTAATTTGAACAGTACAGCTGTTATTTTGATTTTTTTTTTTAGTTACTATTATTATTTTAAACATCCAGACATCTTTTGAAGCTTTCAGATAATAATAGAGAAATACATGGTCTATCTGCAAACCATGGTGAAATCTGAGCCAGCTGTTTGCTGGGTATTTCTAATAGAGGTATTTTATAGCCGGGTCACCATAAATCTCTGGAAGGACAGGCTTGAACTTGGGGCTTCAGTCCTGTGCGAGGCAAGATTACTGTCTCAGTATTCATCAAGTTAGTTAAAGATTTGGCGTTTTTCACTTTGGTTATTTTTGCTCCAGTGTAGAACCCCAAGACATGCTGTATTTATTAATAACGATGTGCGCAGGGAAGTCTAGTATTTGTGAAGTGTGTGATGGCTGACAGTAGGGCCCTGGTAGTGGTGGGGCAGTACTCCCTTACGCCTTTGCATGAAGAGCAGAAAGGTACAGAATGGCCCCTCCTGATGCTCATGCAGAACGGGGAAGAATGTTCTTGTAGGGTGTAAACTGTGTGCATGTGTTTGATATTTTCAGATGTCCACAATGCTGAGTTTGTCCTGACTGGGGTACTCACTCAAACACTGGATTATGAATCATATCCTTTTTGTGTAAAGGCTGTCTGCTGCTTTGGGAAGTGTGGTTTACTAAAAGTTTTTCTTAATTAGTAACTAATTATTTAAAATTTTTTAGGATGTGTAATGTTTACTTGATAGGAGGGTAGTTTAACACCCAGAAACCTAGCTTAAATTCAAAGTGTAATTACTTTCTGATAGGAAATCCTTCAGTGGAGGTTGGAGGCAGGGTTGTCAGAAAGTAACAGTAGTAGAATATTAAGCAACAAGAAAAAAAACCTTGTCACTAAGGAAAATACTTGTCACAAGTTACTTGCAAATGAGGAAAATAGCTTTTTACTGAAGATTATAAACTCGGATAAATGCAGTGGAGGGTCCGGTAAGGGTTCTGTGTTTTTATGCATCTTTTTTATATAAGTTCTGTTTTGCAGTCATTTCTTAAAAGTTGTTCGTTCTTAACAAACACACATATAAATTTACTTGATGGATAGTAAAATGCCTTACTGCTTCGGAATCCTTGGAGCATTAAATCTAGCTGTTCAGCCATTGTACAAAGCAACTAAAACTTCCTGTGGATGCTGTTTCCAGCTGTTTTCCTAGGGATGATGAGCAGTTTAAAGCAGGAAAGCAAAAATAAACTGCATCTTTTTTAGGATGTGTAATTTTATTATGCTGAAACATAATTTACTATGTTTTGTATTATACTGCCATTTTAAAAGAGCCCACTTTAGCTATCATGATTAGCCCGTTTTTAAACATTTTAACGTAAATGATGGTACTTCAGCCAAAAGTGTAATTTGGATGTAAAAATAAAAGGGCTTGCTATCTATTAAATTATGGGTGTTGAAGATAAAAATGTTTTGTACTTTATTTTTATTTCTTATACTCTATTTTCTTTTATATTGATATTTTGCCCACATTTTAAATAAATGTACTTTTAAATGTTTTACTCTATATTTTAGTGGTGGTTCATTTTTTTGAATACTGTGCAACAATGGCACTCTGGTAAGAGTAAATTACTCAAATCTTTTTCCAAGCAATGTAAAATTATTTCAAGCTTATTTTACCAGGTATGTTTTAATATATGAAATCCCAGTGCTTTAAAGGGAAGTTGTTGTAAGTGTACATATGTGTTTTTACTGCAAAAAAGAAATAGCTTGAAGGAAGGAGAAACTAAACCTGCATATTACGCTGTTGTGATAACTTTTGTTTGTATAGTGAGTTTTACTAAATAAATATTAAAAACCAGTCTCCCAAATCTATATTCAGTTGTATTTCCTAATGCACACACAGTTCTAGTAATCTGACTTTACCATTTTTGTCAGTTTAGATTCTAGTAGATGAAAAAGTAATCCTAAAAGCATTTATTCTTTGATCAGCAAGCCATTAAACTCTCGTTGGGGATTGCAGATATTCACTTATCTGTACAGCATCAAGTGTATTATAGCACCACGCGAACCATTCACAGAACAATTCAAAATACAAGATAAAGAAGTACTTCAAACAATAGCTTATCACACTATTTTTTTCCAAACATTTTGTATTTTTATGCAGAACCATTTTACAGAGAAGCTTTTACAAATACAGTATCATTAAACTGAGGTATATTTTTAGCTTATGCAAAGCTTTCTACAGAGAAATTACTAATTTCAAATCTCTCTTTTGTGCTATGGCTTAAAATGTAAATCCACCTGATACTTGACCACTATTTCTGTTGCCTTCCTTCCCATGCCCCAGTTCAACACAGTGCTTAAGCGAATGACAAACTCAAGCTGTAAGAACACAGTGGGAGTAAACTGCAAGATGAGTTTTGTCCCACGGAGGTCAGTACTGCGCCTGGTGCCTGTTATTGCTGGCTCTGGGTTCCTCAGCTATCCTGATCTACTCCTGTATTTGGCTTTTCTATTGTCAGCAATAAAGGGCTGCATGAAGATAACATTAAGGGTAAAATTTCTATTAGCGTGACTGTTGGTGAGGTGAGAAAATGTAGTAAACGAGAATGTTATACATTGGCTTAAGATAGCTTTAGGTGCATTGGAGGTTAAAAAGCTGTGGTACAAGACAGGGAGAAAATGGTACTTTTCCCCAGATGCCATTTACTTGTAACGGCAGTTATGTGATTCTTCTTACTGTGATGTTCAGCTCTCCATAATACAGTTTATTCTTTGTTACGAGATAGATTAAGGAAGAGTCTGTAACGTGGAGACCTAAGGTTGGAAGTTGATGACATGATTTTATGCTTTAACTTTTAAAAATAGTAGAAAAAGGAGGAGGGACTGCAGTGGGAGTTAATTGTTGGCTGATGAGTTGTGCAAATGACTTAAATTGTTCAGACATGTAGACCTGGCAAGTCTGGTCTCCCTTTACTGTCAATGGAGGGTGAGAATATCTCTAAAACCTGACTTACTTAGAGACCCCTGCAGAGAGCGCATCTCTTAACAGTTTAGCAAACTAGTTGAGTTATCTACGTCCTTCAGAATACAGAAAATAGGTGAGATGAATCCCACCCTGAAGACCTTCAGTAATGCATTGCATAAAAACTATTTATTTTAATGGAGAAACAAGTAGGCTGCTTTTTTTTTTTCCCCTTTCAAATACACTTCAGAGTGTGTAATATTGAAATTATGTAAATCTGTGTTAATCTCTGTATGGCTTGAGACCTTCTTCATTATACTAGTTACCAGCTTGCAGAAAGTTTTTGGATGCCTTTTCCTTCAAAACACGTATCAGCTGTTGTAGCTTTTGGAATTCTGAAAATGTTGATGCACAACACTTCTGAACTTGAATAAATACTTTCTACCTGTCATGCATTCAGTGTATGTTCTGTATGCCTTGCCTAACAAACGTAAAAAAAAATTGCCATATCAAATGTAAACGCTAGTTTCAAAGAGAGATACACGCATGTAATGAGTCAGTGGCACTGTTCAACTGTGCGTGAAATCAAGCACAGGGCGTATGAATTTGCAGGACTGGGTTCTAAAAGCTAACAAGACTTGCTAAAACAGCTTTCTGCGGAATGAAACTTAGCACTGAGGGAGGAGAGGCAGAGAGAAACCAGCTTTGAATGTGTTAGCAGGTTCTGCCTCAGCAACAGAAACTGCTAGACTCGACAATGCATTTATGCCTCGGTAAGATTTCTCACCTTTTTTAGGATTAACTTCTTCCATGTTTTCCACAACCAAGCAGTGTTGAGGATATGTAACACCTTTACCAAAGACTACCGGAGTTGAGACATGTGAATGCAATAGCATCTGAAAGGTAAATTTCCTTATGAAAACTATCCAGAATGCTGTCAGATACTGCGTAGAGAAGCTTGAAGAAAACCGAATGCAATCATGGAACAAATGAACCCCATGGGAAACATGAGTGGTAATGCATCTGTTTCATCATCAGTGGAGACACTGTGTTTATTTAGCCGACATACAAGTATGACTGATTTGATTAACCTTTCAATTAGAGTAAAAAACAGAACCTGCCAAGAAATAGTCTTTCAAGAACCACAGGAGCTGTCCAGAGCCAACTGGCTTGCACAGATGTTGCTGTGCATGTGATTAGTGATAGAGAAAGGGTTTGATGAAGGATGCTGATACTAGATTGCTGTTGTGAACATGCTTTTCCTTCAGTGGAAGGTTATAATACTTAAGTGTCTATTTGATCCTGTCTCCTTTGCTCAGGAAAAAGTAAATACCTTTCATGTTGTTGTTTAGTTGCTTGCAGAAGCATTATGTCCGTACTGCAAGCTTGTGTTCTTTGTAGAAAATCTGTCCTGATACAGCTGTTATTTAAGGATAAATACAGAACATGTCTGTAAGAGTGGAGATGTTCCATCAGTTAGGGATCTGCTGGAAGTCAGGGAGACGTGGTCTCCACTCATTACCCTGCAGCTTTCTTTGCCATGAGTCATAAAGTAGAACTGTAGAACAGAATTGTAGAAGTGCAGCTGGAAGACACCTCTGGAGGTCCAGTCAAGTTTCCAGTATCTCATAGGATGGAGATACCACAACCTCTGTGGGCATCCTGTTTCTGTATTTTGCTACCCTCAAAGTAATAAGTAAACCATCCTCATATCTAATCAGAATGTCCGCTGTTCCGCAAGCGGCTGTCAACTCTAGTTTCATCCCCATGCACCTCCAAGAACAGTCCGACTCTTGTCTTCTTTCTACCCTCCTGGTAGGTAGTTGTAGACAGCAGTGAAACCTGTTCTTAAGCCTGAGCACACTCAGCTCTCAGCCTCTCCTTGTGCATTGTGTACTTACACCCCCTCATCACAGAATCATCGAATCGTTTAGGTTGGAAGAGACCTTTAAGATCACCCAGTCCAACCATTAACCTAACACTACCAAATCCATCACTAAACCAATTAAGGGTAGAGTAGTAATTTCATGTTTCCTGACTTGGTGGCTGGATTATTTTTAATGAAAGTAAAAACTAGGAATTATTAAGATTGGAAAGGATCTCTGAGATCATCAGTCCAACCATCAACCCAACACCACCATGCCTACTAAACCACGTCCCAAAGTGCCACATCTACCCATTTTTTGAACACTTCCAGGGATGGTGACTCTACCACCTCTCTGGGCATCCTGTTCCAATGCTTGACTACCCTTTCTGTGAAGAAATTTTTCCTAATATCCAACCTAAACCTCCCCTGACGCAGCTTGAGGCCATCTTGATGGCCTTCTGCTGCCTTGCTCCAGTAGGTCGTTGTCTTACTGTATGGGGGAGCCCAAGACTGTAAAAAGAGAAAAAAGGTACTGGGTGCCTTGGCCTTTTTCATCACTAGGTCCCTTGCCATGTTGAGCAGCAGACTTTCCTTTTTCTTTCTTTTCCTTTCCTTTTTGCCGCTGATGTATTTACAGAAGCCTTTCATGCTGCCTTTCACATCTCTTGCTGGTTTCAACTTGAGCTGAGCTACTCCTGAATAAAAAATCAACTGTGCAGTTCAAGATGTGTAAAACATCTGAGTGGAGCAGATAAGCACCAGAACGGATGTGTTTAGGAAGGTTGTGCAACTTTAATCTTTATGCAGCTCTGCTATTAAAAATTCATCAAATGTTTTTTTAAGCACAGTTTAGTTAGTTTGCCCTGCCTCAAGGCAAAAGGGTAGACAAGAAGACAGCTCTGTTGATGTTTATGTATTTTACGTTTAAATATCGTGGTGCCTTACAGGGTGCTAGGTGGTTACATAGAGTAATGTATGTTAGGTAAGAATTACCCTTTTTATGGATGGAAATTAAGATTGGGAGAAACTTACACTGGGAGTGGTGAAGCAGGGAATAAAACCCAGGTTAGCTGTATTCACAGTTCACATCCTGACAGCCAGTCAAAGCCTATTCCCTTTCCCCTTTCTTCTGCCTGACCTCTGCTGCTCGCAGCAAAAATAAAGAAATACCAAAGCAGCGGAGCTAAGGAATGGCAACAGAAGGAAGCAAGCACACACAAATGGAACAAGGAGAGAGACTCACAGGCTGACCCCTCAAAGAAGAAACTTTTGCAAATGACTCCAGGGTTTAATAGGGGTAAGTTTTCCTATAATTCCTATGGTATAGGGGTAATGAATACAAAAAATGTTGTTAAGGAAGTTGCAGATGTGTTTCATTTTACTTGCAGGGCTGTGACATTGAGAGAGACTATCTCTGAAATTATTCCCTTTGGTAGAATTCATTCTGCAGGAAGCACTGTAGGCTACAGGCCACCTTGTTGCTTTCTTAATCTTCAGAATCTGTGCTAGTGTTTTAGAAAAAAATACTTTCTAGTTCTTACGGTTCCCAAATGTCTGAGCCTGGTTAGTGCTGTGGCACATACAAGCCACGGACCAGCATTTCTGACACAAGCATACTTACCCAACCTGTTTCATTCTGATGATGATGATGATGATGATGATACTTCAGTGGCAACATCGTGAGCTTACTGCCCATCCAAGCTCTTCGGAAGAGGGAATATGATCTC